AAACTAAAAATGACCTATATACACCTTACATATGCACCTCATATTCGCAGTTACTTTTCAAGGGATGAAAATCCATTTACACTTTTGGCTTACATTTCATAGCTGATGTATGACCAGAGGTCCAAATCCCTTCCTATTCCTGTTTGCGGGGCATCTTAAAGCCTCAGAAATTACAAATCCTGACAGCTGACTCACAGGAAAAGCTGGGTGGATGATATGAAACCCATTCTTATGTGAATTTCTTGACTTACTGGTCCTCAATGATGTCCTTGCAGGAAGAAGAAATGATGTAGCCAGCTGAGGAGGCCATGACTGCCTGAACTGATGACACCAACCTGGGAGCATGAATGGCAGGTAAATGACAAAAATGTATTTCTAGATAGCACATGTGGTTAAGGGTGTTTAAACATCTACTTCAAAAATGGCAATGCAGAATTGCCTTAGTGCTTTTATGCAGGAACAATACAGTTAAAAGTACAGGGTAAAAAACACCTAACTGCAGCTGCAACAACCTTTAATCCCTGAGTCGTGCAAAAAACTGCATGTGAGCTTAAGTCCAAAACAACTTGGATGGGAAACTGTGATCGAAGAAGTACAAGTACCAAGAACCCTGACAGATAATATGCCAACATGTCAGACCACACAGAAAAATCCCCAAACAACTTTTTTTTTTTTTAAGAAGGCCTCACCTGGCAGATACGATGACTGCATCTCCTTCGCTCCACCTCAGCGCTGGGATCGACTTCAGGCATTGTTTGGACAGCAGGAAAAGGCCTGGAAAGAACACAGACCCAGCAGCTAGGATGGTCAGCATGGTCCCTGGCAATTTGTCAGCGAGGCGAAAAGTTCAGTTGGCAATCTGGTCCTTGAGATCCGTCGCTCTTTATGCCCTCTCTAAAAAAAAATATAAAAAAAACACAAAGCAACTATCACTGAATAAGTTTGTATTGATCTCTTTGACATGTGGCGAATCCAAAATGTAAGCATTCAGCTGCATTAACTTATATCACAAACAGAGCTGACTATCACAGTCCAGTCTGTACTGCTTATTGGAGGTCTTACCAAATTCCCAATAAGATAAACATGATGGTGATAGTGAGAGGAAGAGGGAGGAGGGTGGGATGTTTGTTATAAAAGGGTTTTTGCAGGGACCTCTAAAGCCGAGTACAGTGACAGAACATCACACAGAAGGCCCCTTTGTGCAGCATGCTGCCATGTCCATCTGATGACACTGAATGCGTTATTCACATCGATTCCTGGGGCTACCATGTGGTTTAGCAAGTTTGATAAGACTAGCTGACTCATTAAAAGTTCAGGTCCATTAGTAAAATACGCATTGCGCCTTTTTTTTTTTTTTTTTTTTTTTAAATCCTGGACGTGGAAACTATTGATATAAACATGAACTGCTGGAGCTCACAGGTTCTGAAATAAACCTCAACTAATGTGACCTGTATTGAAAAGATAAACCAAATATTCACAAGTAGACCGGCTGTGGGGTTGACAAACCAAACTTTACACTATCAAATCCTGGATTGATAAACTGTGATTAATCTTTGCCATGTCGACTTGAGTCCAGTGTCCTTTATCCTGAGCGCTCACATGTTAATGAACTAAAGCTAACGACGCTTTCAACGAGGTTACAAGTGCTAGTTAAAGATATATTCAACTCCAATCACCTAGCTTTACATGTTTGGGTTGTAAATGCACAAGTAACTAGGTCACCCAGTTGTGAAGAAGAGACACTGTTCACCTCGTCTTCGGTGAGCATGACCGACCCGTCTGCAGCGTTAACACACCGGCTAACAATGACGCTAACGTTAGCATCTCTCCGCTAGCTTTAGATAACGGTGTCGCTGAGACCTAATTCAGACACCGATCATTACCAAGATGGTGACCCCCTCCCATCCCCCCTGTACACAAACAAGTACCTGCACACACAATTGCCCATGCTTTGCCAGTCATTCTTTGGGTCACATTACGTGCATGTCGAAGTGTTTTTGTTAGCTTGTTATTTGTTTGTAGCCGCTGAGCAGGGCTAGCCGACACCGTGAACGCTAGCCCCCCCCCACCGAAAAATAAAATGCTAACCCTGACTGGACTGGGAGTTCACACACACATGTGTTGGAAATAAATTGATATTTTTTTAAGCAGCATTTACACAAGTCTTCGGTGAGTCTTCCGGTCAGCGGCCACTCGACTCTCGTGTCCCACAGGCAGAGTTTAAGGTGAGAGATGTCCCGGGGGTCTGCGCCTCGATGACCCGCATGTTTGTGTGGCCACTTCAAATGTCTGAAGGGTAGCAGCGTCGAGCTAACGCTTTTTTTTTTTTAGCTTGCAGCTAAGTTAGATCTACATCTATGAGAGGGCCAGCTCAGCGAGAGCATTGAGTGGGGGGCGGGGGGGGGAAGCACCCAAGCGAAACAAAACACGGCGAACTAGCGGGGTTTTAAAAAAAATAATAATAAAAAAAAAAAAAATCACATCCGGGTGTCTACACAGCGTTAGTTGTCCCAGCAGCTATGTCATCTCTTAAGTCTCCCCCACACAGCACAGCAGTGATGCCTCAGCTTCACAGATGCATCCTTCGTTGACTCGACACTGTGGTCTGCTGCGCCAGCTGGTTCCTACAGGTCCAGGCGGGCACCTCATGACATGACGAGAAATTTGCACCAGTCACTGCACTGCATTTTCCATTTGTCGTCAATGCAGGGGGTGGGGTGGGGGGATGGGGGTCGTGGGGGGGGGGGGGGGAGCGTTGAATGGATACCTCGTCCGGAGCATTCACAGTTATTTTGCAGTATCCAGTCTGCCAGATATTTAACAGCAAATGACTTTTTCCTTTAATGTATTTTTTTTTTTTTTTTTAAATCTGATTGAATAATTAAGTAACTGATAGTTGCCGAGCAAATTGTGTCTAATATAGATTCTCATTTGACCTTTGAATGAAACCAACATGTGCACAACCTGATCAATCATCAATCCTCAATGTAATCAAGAGATGATTGTTTGAAAGCTCAAAGTCCTTACATTTCACAGCCCTGCAAACATTGAGACGTGGAGATTACATACCAGTAAGTCCATCACCAGTTCAGGCTTTGAGTGACAAACCAGCTCTTTGCAGCAAAGTTGATTGAAATGTGTTGTATAAATAAAGGGGACTGGATTGTCATTTGAGGTTCGGGCATGAAGAAACTGTAAGGCTTCACATGTTCCTACAACAGGTAGTACAGGAAGTAGTTTTGGGAGACATTTCATTATTTATTTTTTTAGCAAAGAAGTGGAACATCAGCCAGAATGTAACACATGTTGTGAATAACTTTTGTTTTACTCCAAGCTTGGGCTTGGGAGTAGTGTAATGGTAGTCCCTACATCCAGACAGAAGTACACACTGTATATGTATACAGAGCATACTTAAAGAAACGTGAATACATTGATACATGAAAATCATTTTGGATTCAAGTTCATTCAAACTTGAGTGAATATGTGAGAGTTCATGCCATGAAGATATAGAGAACTTAAAGAGAGGCGGATAGAATATGTTGTACTCTGTAGCATATAGAAGTGCAGTAAAGGTGAAGACACACTGTACTGTACCTTCAACCACTTCGATAATTAGGTTGACTGGCAGGCCCGTTGAAGAAGACTCTTTGAAGTATAATGTGAACATTTGTTCAGAACAAACAGCTCTGAGGTTGAAACAGGAACAGTCTTGGTGTTTCCATATTGAATGGGACACCTGGCACAGTTAACATTAATTACAGACGATCACAACATTTTTTTTTTTTACAATTCAAAACGTTTTGTTTTTTCTCTAGAAGACCTAATAATGGAAAACTCTAAGGAGTAACAACATAGCTTTTTTGTTTAATCTTTTTCTCATAAGTACTTTTCCTCATCAGTGTTAGAATCGTGACTTTAATTGTGTCTGCAAAAGTTGCTTTGATTGGTACTTTAACCAATGTTTACGATTCCTTTTTGCTTTACCAAACACTTGAGAGAACATGTCTGATGTGTCTTTTTGTTTACATTTACAGACATGGTGCCAGTAATAAAAGAGTAAGAGAGAAATAACAAGATTGTCAAGTATAGGAAAACTCACATATCATTCCATGTTTTCCTCCTGTTTTCATTTGCAACCTGTTCTGGCCCCTGTCATCAGAGGATTACTTCCTATGCACGACTTTTAAACACTGGATTTATATGTTACATCTCACAAGTATCACAAAGGACAAGCGATTTTTCACATTTGTTTTCTTGTTGCTAGTCCCCAAAAAAAACGTCCCTGCACACTGACAAGAGAAAATGCATTGACTTGCTTGTTTTTTTTTAAGCCTTTGTGAAGCCTTTCTTCTCTCAAACTATTGAGTATAATAATGGTGAGTGCTGACAGTGTGCAGATCCTGATCTTTGATAAAAGGTAAAAATTGATTATTTTATGTTTGCTGGGAAATACTGTTGCTGTGCAAGACTTATATTTATGTGAAGTCATATTGGTCAAATATCCATGGAGGAAAACATTTACTGACATTATTATTTCTACAGGGTTGATTTTTTAAATCACATTTTCTAGGTCATGTTAACATCTAAAGAATAACTTAGGTGAAGCTGCTTCATGTTTTAAACATATTTTCTGTATTACTTCAGCCAGGCTCTGTGAATGTATTGCTCCAAAATGTTCTCTTTCAAATGTAAATAGTAATTTGATGGTGTAAAAGATGACCTGTGAGTAAACACTGATTTAACCATGAATTTTTCCAATATGCTCATAATGATGACAGCTTTACTCTAGGGTGCATCTTGCATTATTTCATGCATCAAATCATCATGAGTCATGCATTAATTATGAATTACTCACGCGTGTGATGTGTACTCTTGTTATAAAGCGTTATCACTGGAGATGACAAAATGGCTGAGTGAGATTTTGCACAATAGAACTCCCTCATACGTCCAGTGTCAAATCAACTATGTAGCGTAACAGGGAACAGATCATCACACAAACACCCGTTTACTCTTTTACTTTAAATTGTCCAAATTACAAAATAATAACATGATTTCTACTTCATCTACAAAATAACATGACTGTAGTAAGCATCATTGATTTGTTTTTTTTGCTCTAACAATCTTTTAGACATGCATACTGTTGAGAAATATAAAAATATAAATATAAATACATCCCATTATTATTCTTAATGAATCCATGACTAAGATCTGAAATATTTCATCATAAAATAATTAAAATGCAGTTGAGTACGATAAGGCATTAAGATGTATCAGAAGAGCAGTACAGAATCCTAGAGTAGAGGTATTAATTTTTTTAGTGTTATGAAGAAAAAACCTAAAATGAACTTTTTTTAAGAGATCACTACTTTTCTCAACAGGAAGAACACATTTCCAAAGAGAGAAGAAAAGGAAGAAAGAAAGAAACTACTACAAATTTCAAGGTAACATATCAACACAAAACTGAAAAAGCACTCCAGTACAAAACCAGGTTTGTTTACAGCATACCAAGTGGTGTTGTCAGACTCCAAATGTACGTAATTTTCCTGACTAATGACTTAATAAGCCCTTTCTCGACACCACATCACACAACATAACTCAGAGCAATTAAAGATATCCAACAGACGTGTGACATGATGAGAACGATAATGACTTGCACTTCGAACATGATGTGCTATACAGAGTTAAATGACTAAGTCTAATGCATAAGTCTCACTCATTGGACAGGTACAGAGAGAAAATAAAAAAAAAAGGACTATGGCAATGACAGTTACAATCAAATTAATTCACCAGTTACAGTACACATAGCTGCCATTTTCCTCTGACATCACAAACAGGATAGGAAGCTCAAATGCTGCGTTACTGTCCACACTGCTGAGTTACAGGTCGTGAATCCCATAAGTGTAACATAACTAAAAAAAGAAATCATCATATCACATAGCCTCAATTAATCAGCAACTAAAAAACAATAAAAGGGAAAATCTAGATGGACATTTGGCAATATTTGGAGGTACGACAAATTTGATGACCCATTAGCAACCATTAAACAGCTAATGTTAGCATTCAATAACTTCCAAAGCAACACTACCTTCTGCTAGGTTTATACCTTTCTTATTGTACCATCTAACACATGCAAACTGTGACGTTAGTGTTTAGACATTCTCTAGATAACACAAGCAAGGAAGAAGAATTTTAATGTTAGCTGTTGCCTAACTTTGGCTAACAGCTTGTTTAGTCTTTAGAAAATGGTCTTGGTCCCTATAACGTTTCACTATTCATTGTCTTTATCACTTGCCGATCTTGAGGAAGTTGTGATATGAGAAGAACTTGTCAGATATCAAATTTTAGGGATAGCCCATACAGCACACAGCTGTGAGACGGCTCACACATTAGCATCGATTCAGAGGAAAATGGCTGCCATGTGAATATAGTGGCTGACTATGTCTTGTTAAAATCAACACTTTTTATAAATATAATTGTTTACAGCCAACGTATTAGAACTGCTTAGTGTTTCTTTTGTCATGACAGCTCCCTAACAATAAGCATGACTGAGCTAGCTTACTTTCATGCAAAAAGGTAGTTTTCAGGCGCAGGAGTTGCCATGTCAGAAGCCAGAAGAAGAGTTGAATTGCAGTTAGGTCTTTCTTTCTTCTTTTTTTCTTTCTAAGATGGCCGGACCCAGAGAGGAAGACTCAGAGGAAGAAAAATCCTAGAAATCTTAAACCCCATTTTGATCACCACTGAATCAAACAACGACTATTTAAGGTGCTTGACACTCCTGAATATATCTCTATTCTTTTCTCTGTACCTTTAAGAAACAAATAAACGAATACATCCCACAAATCCATACTGCCCACAACACGAATGGCGTCCTGTCCTGGTCTGTAAACTTACAGCTTTGAAAATCAAACATTGATTTTAGCGTTATGATGCTAACATGCTAACACACATCTTCCCTCCCCCTAATGTGTTACTTTTTATTCTATTCAAACTAGTCTCTTTCTATTTCTTCTTAACCCAAGCCATTTGGATTTTTTTTCGTGAGAGAGCTACAATATGGAGGTAAGATCAGAGCTGGTGTGAGATATACAGTACTTGGTGCACTTGCAGAGAGCAGCTGATGCCAGGGGTGAGGGGGGGCAGAGAGAGAGGGCAGAGAGGGAGAGTAATACACTAGATGCTCACAATATCACATTTTTCTTACACAAATATTTTGGCAACACAACTATGTTTATCATTGGTGTTGCTGTTCTGCATTTAATTCCCTTCTCCCTTAATCCTAACCTTGCCAATAATTGAAGACTTTACAAAAGTGAAACCAGATCAGCATCTATGTGTCACTTTGACCTTCTCTAACCTTGCCCTCTGTTAGGAAACCGAGGTTATTATTGCTGAGCTCCGTCCTGCTAACTGTGAGACTGTGGTGCTGCAATACTAGAGCAGTCCGTAACAAGCAGGTCCACCACTGTGTTACCCGTGACGTACACTGTAGGTGCCGTCACCATGTTGCTAAGGGAGACAGAGCTGCTGGAAGCCACATTCGAGGTGATGGGGTTTGGGACGCCCTGGCTGTTGTTATGGGTGCCCATGTGCCCTTGGAGCTGGGTTGGGGTCTTGCAGTGGACACCACACAACTGGCAGACGAGGATGCCACCTGTGGTCGTGCCGCCGAAACCCCCAGGACTGTCCTTCCACTCCTGGCCATGGTGCTTCTGGGCATGGACGCGAAGGTACGTCAGTGTTGTGAAGCCTAAAGGGAGAAAAGAGTGAATTGGGACACTAAGCAAAGAAGTGATCTCTAAAGCAAAATAGTGAAATGTGAAACATTATTTTTATTACAACACGTAAAACATGCTTCTTTTACACAGCTTATACACAGATCCAGCAGGTATGGAGCAGCATTGGCCTTCTTAAGAGTTGGGTATTTGTTCTCCTGCTGAATTAAAGTCCCATATTAATTCCCCATTTTAGCTTTCTTTGATCTCCACCAATTTCAGCTCCAGACTCCTCCTTTCTGATTCTTTTGGCTGCTCAATGCTCCACTTTCTTCACCAGCGAGTACCTAAGTCTGTGTCAACCTGTTGGATGCTGAGCAAGTAGTGTGCATTCAGTTTATCTCTTTTTTTAAATTAAAGGTCACATATTATCCTCCTTTTCAACAAGTTTAAATAAGTCTCACAGCTGCCAAAAACATGTCTGTGAAATTTCTTGCTAAAAATCCACTCTTATCCTGTATTTGATCATGCCTATGAACCCTTCTATTTCAGCCCTGCTCAGAACAGGCTGTTTCTGTGTCTGTAGCTTTAAATGAACGTGAGCTGTGTTCAACCACGCCCCTCTGGAAGGTGATGTGGCGCGGGCTTTCTTGCACCATGCCAAATTGTTTAAGGTGAGGAGGCAGACTAAGAGGGCAGAACAAACACCTAGCTGTAGGAGTGTCACCCACCTAGGGGAGGGGTTACTGCCCTTTGTGATGTCACAAAGGGAAAATGTCCAAACTGCCTGTTTAAGCACGCATTTTCTGAAAAGTGGAGCAGGCAAGAGACGGAGACGATGGCCTTTCTCATAATTGGGGGGTTTGTAGACAGACTAGGGACACACAACAGTTAGGGTGTTTCCTAGAAAACCAAAACAGTCAGTGTAAAGATGCTACCTAGCTCCTTAGAGCCAAAGAAAACCAATGATTTTAAGTCAGATAAATACTTTCCAAGAGAAAAATAATGACAACGGTCGTGTAAATTTAACTATTAAATAATGGCATCTGTTCTTACTGCGGTTACAAAGATGGCAGGCGTGGTGCTGTGATTGGTTGTGCACCCTCATGTGGTCAGTGATGTAAGCAGCTGACAGGAGTTTGCCACAGATGTGACAGGGGACCTTTTCCTCGTGGCGAATCATGTGCGCACGCAACCGATCCTTTGTGGCAAAGCTGGACTCACAAGTCTGGAAAAAAAGGGGGAAATCAATGACTGTAAGAGAAAATGAAGTAAAGTAATGTCCTAAAGTGTGGGCCCTTTAATTCAGACAGTGTGCTGACAAAGCATTCCTTATTATTATAATCTTTATAATCCTTACTTTAACCCACTAACTTAATAGTACATAAGCATGCATACAATACACATATTCTATAAATTACCAACTATATTAATATATATGATATATGATATGATAAAGCATTTTTGTCATGCTTATGTAAACATCAGGCTTTGTGCTGTTGCATCCAGGTAAACAATCTAACTGTGAGCAAAGTAGACAAAAAAAAAAAAGCATGACGCACTGGGCATTTAAAGGGACGCTCTGAGGAGTGCACCTGTCTGACGTGACTGTTGAGATGGTCCGGCCTTGGGAAGTAAAGAAAGGTAATGCATTAGTTCAGATAAAGCTTCACATGTAAGAGACAGTTGGAAATACTTGTGGTTCAAATAATAATCACAGCATCAGATTTTAACTCTTTCACCTGGAGAAAGCCTTGCCGCAGTGGGGGCAGACATACGGTTTTTCAACGCCGCCCTGGTGCGAGCGCACGTGGTGGCTCATGCGGTCCTTCCTCTTGAATCGCTGCTGGCAGATGGGACAGGAGAACGGCTTCTCGTCTGAGTGGGACAGGCGGTGCCGGTTGAGGTGGTAAACGTCCCGGAAAGCCTTCCCGCATGTTTCACAGGCATGGTTCTTCCTCACCGGGTTGGGGTTGGGATTGGAAGGCCGCTGAGGCAAAAAAAAAAAGACAAGCAGATAAACAAACTCCAGAATTTAGACAGGAAGTGTTTTCTGCACAGTTGAAAACAAAGAACGAGTTACAATCAGAGGCAGCTATTCAGATATTTTAAAATCTATTTTCTTGAAACCATGCAAATACACACAGATTGTTTTTACCTTACTTCCTGAAAGTTTTTGCATGTTAGGTCAACTACTTACAGTTTGATTTAAGTCTTTTTGTGCGTTCACACTCTTTATGTTACAGAGAACATGCAGGGGAGCGTGGGGGGGCTTCTAGCATGGTGTTTCTCAAACTGGGGACCAGTGCCAAAAACTGGGATGAACTTTACTGGTCCCTGAACAGATTTCTGTAGACATTCAGTCAAAGATACACAGGAGACCTCCAGTCAACCATCCCTGTGGCTGTGCAGCTAAAGAAACAACATGCTGGAAGGTTCGGGGTTGACGACAGCCATCTCCACAAGGCCCTGACCCACCTGTACTGTCGCCCCTGAGGCCATGACGACAGCAGCAGGAGGTGGAGCGTGGGGGTTAACACTAGCCATTACGTTTGGCATGGCGACCCTGTCACCATCCTGACTACCCAGGGGAGGCTGCTGGGCCCCCGCCAGCAAGCCGGGAGGGGCGAGAGTAGGAGGTGCGGAGAGATGCAGCAGGGAGAGGGGAACAGTTGGCCTCTCCGCCCTCCCTCCGGCCCCCACCGCCATCGCCAACGGGGCCGCCACCGCCACAGTCAACTGGCCGGCCGCTCCCTCCTTTGCCCCCTCCGCCTGCTCTCTGGCCCTGTCCTTCATGCGTACCCCAGTGTGGACCGACTGATGCCGCCGCAGGTTGTAGTTATTCTTGAACTGCTTGTTGCAGATGGCACAGATGTGGGGCACTCGGGCTGGACGAGACACGGGCTTCACTAGATCCATAGCGAAGGGGGAGGAAAGACAGGAAGATTGAAAGGTGCTAATTTCATTCATGCGTATCTTAAAAAAGCAATCATAAAAAATAAAATAAGATTGATCAGATATGATTTCTAGTGAATTTTAAGGACCCCCTTAGTGTACCTGGAATTCTTCTTATTACTATTGATCTTACACAGTTTAAATGTGGATTTTGAATAATCAAAATTAAAAAGAGAAATTTTCAGCTAGATGCTTTTGAAATTAAAACAATTAAGCCGTATTTACATTTTTTTCTCGCTGCTGCATAAAAATATACTGTATGTTCATATGAGATTAAACTTCAATGTTACATGTAAAGCAGTGATTACATTTATATGGCAATGATTGGTCTCTATCTGTCTCGTCCTCTCATCTGTGAATAACAGAAACAAGAATTTGTGCGCCTATCTGAATGACAAATTTATGCAAATGAGGAGTAGTGTCGCCTTATCTGTGCTGCTGACAGCTCCACAGGTGTACAGTGTGGTGTGGTGTCTCTCACCAGGTAGGGGATCCTCACTGAGAGCAGCAGTGTCCACAGTTGAAGGAGGCTGAACTATGTGCTCTGTGGGTGGGGTTTGGGGAGAACTCGTATGCACTGACATGAGCTCTGATTGGAGACTCCCCTCCACTTGGTTTTGGGTGGGAGTATTCTGGAGAAGCAAAGCAGGAGGCCATCACCAAATGTAAACACAAGTCTCAGCTTTATCTATAGGTGTAATACAACGTGTGACGATGATAGGGCTGCTGGACACACACACGAACACACACACACACACACCAGCTGAGAGGCCATGTGTAAGTGAATGAGAACAGAAACAGAGGTCTGCTCATCAAGCTTACCTGGAAGAGGAAATTGCTCCAAGCAGCATCCATTTTGCGGCCACAGCGATGGAGATTATAGTCAGCTCCTTATTGAGATCGAGGAAAGAAACATTTGCATTGTTTCGATCGGCTCGCCGATGACCGAGGCAAAAAGGACAGACGCCTGTCCTGCAGCAGAAACGACGGGCTCCCGGATTTGCTTTAAAAAAACGTAATTAATGTCGTCTGCAAAAATATGTTTTTCTCATTGAGGTAGCCTAATGCTGTCCATTAAAATGCACGCACTCACGCAGGCTGCAGCACGCAGGCCAGCTCCAATAATGGCCGGTTTCTATTTCACTTGTGTTCCTAACTTTAATTCGTCACTGAATTCCCTAAAACGCAAAAGCGCCCAACTTAATTGCTTCAAAAAAATAAAAACGCATATTTCAGTATCATATTTAAGCAATAAGCAAAACACTACACATGACTTAAAAATGCATTTGTAAGAAAGATACCAAATATGGGCAATAACACACGTATCTGATAGCACAGCAGGTCATGCTTTGTTTTTGATTTATGAATCAATTTTTTCCGATTTCTCCCGATAGGCCAATCGGGTGTTTGTCGAAGCCTCGCGTTGGATTCAAGCCCTGACCCCGGCGCGAGGCGCTCTCGCCGGGCCGCAGCCTCTCGCTCCACCTCGGCCGCTCAGCTGCGAGGATGTCATCTTTCTTTTTTTATCGCCCGCTCTCCCTCCTCCCTCCCTGTCTCTTTCTTCCTTTTCTTTTTTAATTCCTCTTTCTTCTCCCCCTCCTCTCCTTTTCTCGCACCGCTATGTCCCACTTGCTCTTAAAGGGATAGGGTTTCCTCTCATTTCCGTCTCCCTCCGGCGGAGCCCGTCCTCCCCCCCCCCTTTCCTTCCTGGGTTTAGTCAGCCGACACAAAATGCAATACCGTGTGTTTTTTTTTTCTCCTTCCCCCCCTCCTCCTTCTCCTCAGGCAGCTGGAGCAGATCTCGTCCTGCACCGCAGCAAACAGCCGGGGTGACTTTCCATTAACGGCGAGATGACAGACGCATCTTAAAGGGAAGTGCGCGTCGATCCTCCCAGTCGGCCAATAATAATGATGTCAGAGACAGAGATAGTAAACAGGACGAATAACAGCTCAGCGTGCACACACACAATAGACGAGATTAATAGTCAGCATTGCATGAACACTGATACACTGTCTGCTTAAGGTAATCAATGTAAAACACATTTTATACATGATATATGATGTCTAGGATTTGCCTTGTTTTTTTGTTTTTTTTATCCAATTAAAGTGTTTAAATCAGTGAGAATATGATGTAATGGCTTCATAGTTTAAGTCAATTCTAGGTTTAAATTTACCAGATTTACTAGTTTCAGCTTTGCAAACTTTTAGAAAGGATGCTTTATAACGTTGTTAAACTTGGCATAATGCATGCTGTTAATGTGCTTTCGACTAAAAGTGGGACAATGAAATATATTTTGTTAACTTAAATTTAGGGCGAACCTTTTTTTTTTTTCAGAAATGTTTGACTTTCGTGCCAAATTCTGTTTTGATAAACTGAGAAAACAAGATTGTGCAGTTTTGTTTGAAAACTGTATTAGTCATGGCTGAAAATTAAAAAAAAAAAGTTTTTTCAATTAGTATTTGAATTTTTTCCTTTTGTGATGCCGACCATAAAATCATAGAAAAAAAACACAGATATTCAGTTTAATGCAAAAAAAAATCAAGCAAATGTTCAAAATGTAGAACAGAGGGTGGTACTGGATGATCATTTTAGTTGCTGATTAAAGTCTGACCATTGAATCTATTCTTTGTTCTTATAGGTGTAGCAATAAACCAAGTAAAGTGAAACAGCACAAGTTAATGTGTTAATATCAATTTTATTATCTTTTTTTAAATTACTTTTTAAAGCACCCCACTTCTTTTCCAATACATGTGTTAAGACCCTTCACCCTTTTCCTCCTCAAGCTTTAAATTGCTTGACGTGAATATTTAATGATTTCAACCCCCGCCCACATCCCCTTCCACGCCCACCCTCCCTCTGCCCCGAAAACTCTGCAAAACACAACGTCTGTGTCGCTTCTTCGTCTTCATGTTAAACCAGGCAGTAGGTGAGACCACCCGCTCGGACACAGACAACAGCCCGTCTAAACGCACTATCACACTGACTTCCCCAACACAAAGGCCGTCCCCGATCCCGCCAGTCTTAGTTTATATAAGGAGTTTCATGCATGCACTGAGATTTCAACCAAGCATAAAATAGTAGGTTATACAGGGAATTGTCTTGAGCTGGTGTTTCTGAGTCATACAAACAGCAGGGTGATTATCTTCTTCTTTTTTTCTTCAGGTAAAACAAAACAAAAAGTCCAGTGATTTCTAATCCCCTTCAAGTAAATGACCCAAAAAGAGGGAGAAAAAAAAAAAAAGAGTCTTCAGGAGCCTCATGTGCACCAGGAAAACACTGATTGGTGTCTTTAAGTGTGGGGACGGGTTACTGCGGTCACTGCTGCTGCAGGATCACAGCAGCTCAGTCAACACCCGTCCTTTTTCTTCTCCTTCTTCACCACACACTTCCAGCTCGTTCGCATTGATCACATGCTCAGATTATCAACAACGATTGTGCAGATTCCTGTGAGATACTGCGTTGAAAGGTAAACCCCCTGAACCGAAAATAAAGAAACAAAAAGGGAAAACCAGCATTTACATTCCAGTGCCCAATTATGAAATCATTGAGTCTCTCTGAGAGTCCAAGAGAAGGAGGTCAGACTTTATGTGGGATGTCCTTTTAAAACTCCGTCGTTTTGTCTTTAAAAAAAATGTGGCAATATAACCAGACGTCACTGCTCGACACATACATAAATAATTAACAATTATTAATAATCGTCTCTTATTAATAATCATTAATACCTTGAACACACCATACCTGACAATGCAACAGTTTTTTTATCAGCTTTTTTTGGAGTCAAAAGTGGGCCCTTTGTGAACATGATTACAACAACAATAACATCAGGATTAATTATGGTAATATTGACACCTATAGAAAATGCAGTTGGAGTTTTTCCACTTCTAACTCTTGAGTCCCGTACTCATTTGAATAATATCAAAATTACTATCATTATCTTTGTTACTCTATAAAACCAATGACTTGTTTTTGTTTTTCATTTTTACCATAAATATGTACAGTAAGAGATCAAAAAGTGTGGGACGAGTGATCTTAAATGCCAGTGAAACTTGGACAGGTACGGTACATTTCAAATGTGTTTGGTCATGTTTACAAATGTTTTTTTTGTTTGTTTTTTTTGTACATCTATCTCATGCATTGAAGTGACTCCCATAGACACCTAGGTTTGTTTAGATACTCAATATGTCATGGATGCTGGAAAGCTTGTTTTTGGTGTTTGTTTGTACATATCCACACAATGTTTCTCCTCATTCCAGCTGCATTTTTAGAACAGAGTCTCTCGCCTTTACAAACATTCGGTGTATTTTTTTTTAAATCATCTTGCAGTCATCAAATAAAAACTTTGATGGCAGGACATCCCCTTTAAGGACTCCTTAAAGGCATTGGTGACGTTCCAAGCAACTTGTTTTTGTGGGTTGTATACACTTCATATAAAAAAAAAAAATCAACAACAGTAAATCAATAAAAAGTGTCAGCAGGAGCTGGAGACTAAAGTCAGCCATGTTTTTTGATTCTCCCCTTTCCCTACCTGGAGCAGAACTTAAGAGTGCTTGCTAGATATATTCTGGACACTACCAACCACATACAAGAACAAACACAATGCAAAAAAAAACAAGTTTTCTTCCCTTTTTCCCTCCATCCTGTCCTCCAGCTTTCTCCATTCCAGCAAAGAACATCATAGAAGAAGACATGGCTGCCGTCTCTCTTTCCGCAGCTCGTGGAGGGAAAAAAAGGCAGCTCCTTTCATACTTTTGTTTCATTTTATACAGGCGGTAACAAAGATAAAAACACTGAACACAAACCTTCTCTTTTTTTTTCAACATCTGAGATCACCTAAATCTGGTGGTTTCACAGGTGGTTACATTCCTCCCTACTATGCTTACACCTGTGAGAATGGGAGAAAACCTCTCAAGCCACCCTGAGTCTGAAGAAGCAGGGTGCAGCTCAAAACTGTCAGTTCAACCTCTCTCGTTGACCCCGAATCCTTTACATTTCAGCTAATCTTACAGTCAAGGTCAGCCCCATTAAAAGGGCACAAGTTGAGGTGTGAAGCTGAGAGTGTTGAGATGCAGCCTGTGATAGCTACCTTCCTAAATCACCTCCCTCTGTGCTGCCCTCCTCCTCTCATCTACGAGTAGGAGATGTGGGAGCCGTTGGAGATGTGTGAAGTGACTGAGGTACTTCTGCTCAAGACGCCGTCGCTGCCCCCAGCTCCTCCGGGCCCACCGCCAGAAGCCGTCCTCCTCAGAGGCTGGGGGCTGTTCCTCAGGGCCATCAGGCTCGGGGCACCGCGTACACCGAGCCCAGCGCCGCTGTAGATCCCCCCCTGTGAGGAGGAGGAGGAAGAGGAGGAGGAGGACGGGCCGGAGATGGATGGAGGAGCAGGTGGCGGGGGAGGTAGCATGGCCAGGGACTGGGAGGAGGAGCGTGAGGGCAGGTGATGGGAGAAGGGCAGGGGGTGTGGGTGGGCCAGGTCGCCGCCGGAGCCTCGCACTCCAGCCCACTCCCGCTCCCTCTCCTTCTCCCGCTCCCTATCGCGGTCCCGATCCCTCTCGCGCTCCCGGTACAGCTGCGGTGTGCTCTGGTGGTGGTAGTGCTGGGGCAGGTGGTGGCGCTGGTGGTGGCTGGAAGAGGAGGAGGAGGAAGAAGAAGAGGAGGCGGAGGAGCGGGACGAGTGGTGCATCTCCCGGCTGTCTCGCCCCAGACCCAGAGCCAGTCCAAGAGCGTGGGAGGAGGATGAAGACTCGCTGCGGCGGTCGCTGGCTCCGCTACCACTGCTGATGCCGCTGCTGCTGCTGCTGTTGTGGCTGCGGCGGGAGTGTTGCTGGGGGGGAGCCATCTGCGGGTGCAGGCCATGGCTCCAGTGTCCAGCGGAGCGGGAGACAGGGGGTGGGACGTTGGAGTACCCCTGCATGGGGTAGGCCTCGCTTGGGATGCCCGACAGAGCCATATTACTGAAGCCAAGACGCAAACTCTCGGAGTCGAAGGACTCGATCTCACTGGCCTGTCGCTCCAGGAGGGTGCGGATACGTTCAGAGCGCTCATTCTGCAGAGACAGCATCTCCTCCTCGATCTAGGAAGAAAGCAGATTTACCTTAAAAAACAACGTTAATCATTTTTCATCGGGGCTATAAGATGAGTTCAGATATTTTCCACGTCATTTATTTATGTTTAAGCGAAGTGAAACTCTAAATCACTCAAATTCTCAATTTACAAACTGTATTTGGGTTCATGGTCAGACACACAATCGTTTTAACAGTTGTAGTGTCCGTAATGTCATGGAAACATAAATACTCTTTTTTCATGTTCTGAAGAAAGGATATGATGGGAATTTTAAAAGTCTGGGACATCAAGTGAGTGGACCGTGTAGAGGTATGCTTCTCTTAAGCTAAGGTGGACCAAAAGTCCTTATAGAAGAAGTTGCGATGCGACTGAAAGCTCCAGAACTGCTGTCAGGAGGACTTAGTGCTGGAACAGGTCACTACAGAGGCTGTAGAAAAAGCTGGTAGAAAGAACAGCTTAGAGTTATATCTGAATATCAAAAGAGCTATCGATGCGAACGCTAACAGGAGCGGTCCACTGTTAAGATTGTGATATTCAGTTTACAATCTTCTCCACTTCTCCTGGCTGGCTTCCTTAAACTCATGACAGGCTTTCACGTTTTGCATTCACAGAATGAATTGCTAAAGGCCTCTAACCCTCTGCTCCAGCAGCGCACGGCGGATGGACACCCTCTGCTCCAGGTCCTTGACCTCCCGCTCGTGCTGCGTGTCTGTGTGGATCTTGATCTTGCTCTGGTAGGCGTTGAGCAGCTCCAGCTCCTGCTGCAGCTGCATCCGGAGCACCTTGTACTCCGCCTCCTGAGTCTCATCCAATCGCAGCTAAGAGTCAGAAGGAAAAAAAACAAGAGGGAGTGTGATGACAAATGGATTTGGCACAATTGTTTAAACCAGAAACTGTGCTTCAGTGTTGAAGGGAGAGGAGAGGAGAGGAAGAGTTTGAGGAACATAAAAAAATATAAAGAGAGAAGAGGATCAGGAGAGTGAGAAACAGATTGTTTAGAGTTTTGTTTAATCTATGTTGTTTTTATTGAGGTGAGTTTGTTCAGTCTTGGCCTCCACATGCTGTCTTTAAAAGAAACTTTGAAACAAAAATAAATCTGTAAATGTCAGACTATTACAGCAAACATGGCAGAAATACTGTTGGTGGGATGAAACGTAATTGACTATTCAGATATAATTCCAAAAAGTGAATCTAGTAAAATGCTACAAAGTGTTTTGAACTGCTTTGACCTGTGTGTGTGTGTGAGATGTCGTGCTCTACGCCCAGCTCCAGGAAACAGATTAAAACTTCTTCTAAAAACACAAAAGATTTTCATCTAAAACCTGTTTTTTTTTTTCTTTCTCTGACCTTCGGGATGGAGTTTTAATCAGTGAGCTGGAAACCTTCCCAAAAGAGACTTAAACAACAGCAGGAGTGGATGTGCGGACAAACAAGGGCAGCGGGGATTTGGCTTACCGAGCTTACGTGGCTGGCTGCCATGGGAGGTAATTAAAAGTAGCACAGTGCGTTATATCACCGATAGGAAAAGATGGTTTATAACGACCCATCCGACCCCGACTATGTTTCAATCATTTAAAAGCCCGGGATTAGAGTGTGGAAGAGTCCCGACTGTCAGAGAGCAGGGGGTGAGTGAGGAGTTTAGTCCTAACAGACTACTACTTACTTTAATAATACTTGTTAAATGTTCAGCTGTCACATCTCATAGTTTGGATTTTTGGACATTTTACCATAACCATGAACAAACTATCAACATGATCAACAAACAGCTTCTCTTTGGATATAACACGTTGAATGTAGTCGTTATATATTTTTTTGTTTTTTTTTAAGTTATCACAGTAGAAAGATCTGATCAAACTAAAGACCCTCCTCAAATCAGCACCATCAGGTAAAGTAAAAAAATATATAAAACTCCTTGTGTTCCAGCCTCCACCCTTTACCATTATTTTACATCCAGTCCATAATGGAGACAGGAGTGAGGAGTATCTCAGGTCACTGTCATCTTCATGTGGAGCTGGACTTAAATATGACCCCCATGTATTATATTGTAGGTCATGTGATATGATATGAAAGCTTGAAGGGATAATCCAGGTCCTTAAAGGGGGAAATCCACCTGAGAGAAGTATGACATGATGATTTCATCAGGGATTATGCAACGTTTGTTTGGGCCGAGAACCAGAGGTTTGATCGTTTAAAATATAAGCAAATCAAAAACGAGCTCAGTGACCAAATCCAGACAATCCAGCTGCCTTGATAGTAACGTAGGCAACATGTATTCATCTGTGATTCTGTCTTTTTTTTTTTCTTTACCAGAGCAATACCATTTAATTTGGACATCTTTTTTTTTAAGATGAACTGATTTTACTGATTTAGTGTCACTGTGTGGTTCAATATCATGGCTTTTAGTCTTTAAGTTCTGTTTGAACTTTAAACACATTGTTCCTCTTTACTGGAGAGGACTTACACAGAACTTGGGCGGGCAACAGGATGGTGGACATCGTTTGGTGTAAAAACAGGTAAACATGAGTTAAGTTGGTGATAAACATTGAGGGAGCAGGATGAGGCTCGTTGGCGGGCAGACAGGAAGGCAGGCGGGCGAGCAGCAGGCGGGCGGGCGGGACGGCTCCTGGGCCAGGCACGGCAGTGGTGGTGTGGTGCGTGTGTGTAGTGAACGACGTCTCTTGCCTTACTCACAGCCTGTGTGGACAGCATGTCATTGATGGAGTGGTCATACTGCTCTGCCAGGATGGCCAGCTTACGGGTCTGCTCATCCTTCAGACGCTTCAGCACGGCCTTGTGGTCCGATTTGGGCGTGTTCTCCAGTAGGTGGTTCCTCAGAGCCTTGTACTGACGGGTCTGGATCTTACACGTGTCCTGGAACTGACGCTTTATCTGCAGCTCTTTGGACTGAAGGAGAGAGAAGAGAGATGCAGGCAGCTCGTCTAAAGAGTTCCCTATTTATAAATGAATGTGATTTTAAAGAAATCAGGAAATAACCTGAATATTGACACATTGTGTTAAGTGACTAGAATCTATCTTTTAGTATTTTTTACAAATCTTTCTGCTTGTAATAAAAAAAACTATAATTCAATTCAGTTTTGGAAATTTTTGAATTAAATACAAAACCTTAAGTTCTGCTGATATCAATTTCTAATTTGTGTTTTTCTTTCCACTTATTGGAAGTGGTCCATTAACAATTTACATAAAGCATGAATGTTTTAAAGTTGGAAACAAAATAACTATGAAAAAATACAAAGACTTTAAAGCAATGCAGACTATATATCAAAGAGTCGGAATTCCCAATTATGTTTGAGAATATGTTGACATTAAAACTGACTCATACAAAGAATTGAAGTCTACATTTAACCCACCAGACTGAAAAATACATTTTGTTTGTCAGGTGAGAATTACTAGAAAGGGCTGTTCACACACGTAATGTAAACAAACGTCTGCAGCTTCATAAAACCAACTAACTAATTGACTTGATTAATAGGTGCTGGTATCTAAAGGGAAAAAAGTGGTTTCCTTCATCATTCGAGCCTTTCTGCTAGTCGTGACTGACATGAAGAATCCTTCTTTTACAAATCACTGCACTTTTTCTACACCCACATTGAACTTCAAACTAGTCATAAAACCTACATGTAAATTTAACAGCCTTCTTTTGAGGCCTCAGATGATTCAACTCACCACTTAACAATGTCAAAATATTATGTTGTAAAGTAAGACTCAGTAAGAGATCCTGCTTTCATTATTTCTGGTAGGTTTAAGAGGAAGGGAAGGGCACAGTATATGACAACAGATATAAAATATGTGATGATGGGGGAAGGGTGGGTGAACAAATAAATATGTAATAATACTGTTGGATAAAATCAGGGAAAAGGTCCACAAATGAGATGTAATGGAAATAATGGAAACGAAAATCATAAAAACAAACAAGACAATGATTTCCACACAAAATATTTTATTTTTTGTGTAAAGAAAAAAAAAACTGAAGGTATGACAAAATACGTTTCTATGCTTGTAAGCACAGTCAGCCATACGTACACAAACACTCATGCAGCGGAACTTAGGATCAAAGGAGAACGAATGGCTGCCGAACACAACAATGCAGTACTAGATGTATAAATACTGCATCAATTAAATATATTTAAAAAAAAAAACTCAAAGTGATAGAACTCTCAGACAAAACAGAATACCAACATGTAAACAAACAGAGGAGCATGGAAATAACTGGAACTCCAATGGAAATCAATGGCAAATAAGTTACATTCAAATAAAACAATGTTGGTGGTGTTTTTTTTTTTTTTTTTTCAAAGCTACGCTCAAAATTAAAATCAGCTGATTCACTTCCTGCTGGTCAAATACAGTTAACGTTTCCTACTCTGTATTAAACCTGGTTTATAAATGTATAAATCTTAAATATCCTTCTTTTACATACATGGAACTTTCTGTCTTATTACATAATGAGCAGTTATGAGCATCAAGCAGTTTCCACGTCTGACTCTGAACCAGGTTTCATTCAAACATAGGCCGATTCAAAAGATTGAATCCTTATTCTCTCAGAGCGATGCTTGTTATGCTGCGTTTCATTGATCGTTTCACTTCATTTAAATCAAGAAGTCATCAGAGCATTTCTTCTACTACTCCACAACGTGAGATTATAAACAACAATATCAACTGTCAAGTTTCTTTTTGGTCTGAAGTCTTTCTGAAATGATTCATTGGTATGTCATCCATTCAGTCATTTTTAAAGCCAAAGTCATCATTAAACATTGAATACTCCCTGGTTCAAGCTTCTCAAAACAGATCACTTCTTTTCTTTGTCATGTGTTTTTAAATGAACTGGATGACTTTGGGGTTGAAGGACTTTTGGTTGAAGAAAACAAGAAATTAGAAGAAATCTCTAACACTTGTGTTGTTTGTGAAGGGCAGTTCTTCACTTTTCCGTTTTTCTTTTTTTTAAAATCATAAACGAATAAAATGTTTGCTGCAGATGGACTGCAGAGATGTGTTCAGCCATATCAGGCATATTTCAGCATTTTTGGGGCAGTGCAAGGCTGGACAGATGTTTGCTATTCTTAGGTGATCTCTTCTTTACTTTCACATTCAGTAGTTGCTTCAATCTTTGGACTCATTGTATGATTGCATGTCTCAAAAGATTGTCTATATGGCTTCATATAAATAAAGTTGCATTGACATTTTTAAAAAGGTTTTATTACGATTCTAAAGCTTAATTTTCTTCAGATATAAATTTATAGTATTTTTGCTAACAGTTACAGCTAGGCACTCAACTTTGTTTCGTAAGTATTTCTTATAAAGGGACAGATATCAAAATGTTTACATGGTAAATAAAAATAATATTGCATAATAAGTGCAATAAAATCACAATATCTAACTAAAATGTCAAAGCTAATGTTTTAATCTGATATGAATAATAAGTAATGAGTTGTATCATTGATATTATCATAAGGATATAATAACATAAAATGAAGAACTTGTTGCTAACAGTTTAAGCTAAATGGCTCCAGGTTATGATTTTAAATCTACTTTCACCTCAAATCATGTTGCTTCAGGATGTTCTCACCTGTGATTTTTCTGCTTGGCATTCATTGCACTTTAATCGAGTGTGAGAACTAGTGTTCAGGGTGATGTTAGTGAAATGATTGCTTTCTTCACAGTATTCACTTTGGGGAGTGAAATGATAGCCATAACGCTAAGCAACACTGTATATATAATATTTGTTCAAAGCACTGAGGTAACAGTGCACTCGGTGAAATAAGACCAGAAAAACAAAATAAAGATTGCACAAAAGTGGTCTAAAAAATAACCATTAAAAGATCTGTCTTACAAATTAAGAGCAAAATAATAAAATAATAATAAAAAAAAAAAACTTAAAGGAACTTTCACAAAAAGCAAAATAATGAAATGTTAAAATTTCACTGGGTTTGGTGTGTTTGTTTATGAAGAGCTCACTGACTTCAACATAACGTATGAATGTTTGGATCAGCTTTAAACAGCCAAAATCACTTTCAGCCAGCAGGACCTGTGCAGGGTTAAAATATGTCTCATATTTAACAAAAAAATGTTACAATCGAGACAAGTGGGCCCAAACAAAAAAGACACACAAACGATGGTTGAACAATGGAACATAAGGCATGATAACACACACACACACACACACACGCACACAACCCCAGCACATGTGTTTCTGTCTCTCCTTTTGGCTGCGTGTTTATCTCCACGGCCGAATTTTCCCCCTGACAAACCTTCCAGATGAGGTCCTTCTTAACGCACACTCCCACCTCGCCTCCTCACGATAAAGCCTCTCCCTATCCTCCCTCCTCTGCCTCTCTCTCTCTCTCCTCCACTCCCTCATCTCTCTCACCTCCCTAGGCAGTAGACGGGGCAGCCTGCTCGTGGCCTCCTTCTTTAAGAGGCCTACAGTCTGGAGTTTCATCCGGACATTTAGCGGCAGCTTGCCAACGAGCTGTGCAGCTAGTTTTAGCACTATGGAGTTAGCTAAATCTGCCAGGACCCCTAGGGGGCGTCTGCAGAACCGCCTCACCCAGAGAAGACCCCTTGCGAAGGGATAAGAGTGGGTGCAGCGAGCCTGAAACTCTAATGGCAGGCTCTTTAGGGGGACAGGGATCCTGGACTGGCGCACGCCCCAGTTGCGCCCTGCTTTTGGAAACATCTCATAGAGATTCCGCTCAGCCATACCGCCCAAAACAGACTGGCACATGGCAAACAGGGGGCGAGGAAGGCGGAAAAGGACGCGCATACAAAGGCGGTTTACTTTACGAGGTGCGTGCTGGAAGAAGTCTCGGGCCGGCCGGACAACGAGCACCACCAGTAGGTAAAGAGAGAGGAAAAGGGAAGGGGAGCTGAGGAAGGAGGCGGAGATCAGAATCATGGGGATGTAGTAAATCCCCAGACTGAATGAGAGACCTAAACTGAAGAGGCAACTCCCCCAGAGGCTAAGCGACAGGTAGGTGGAGAGAGACAGGGAGCAGCAAGAGCGGAGGAAGAGGTACGAGAAGAAGAGCGCCAAGAAAGCGAGCTCGGCAGAGAGGAGCAGCGAGGCCACTGAGGGCAGAGGAGGCGAGCGGCGGAGCGAGAGGAGGAAGATGGAGAGGAGTAGAAAGGTGAAGTTGGAGGGCTGGGCGGCGGCCGACATGGAGAGGAGGAAGCAAATGGCATGAGAGAACAAGGAAGGAAGGGAGGTCTGGGCGGGGGGAGGGGGAGGAGGAGGAGGAGGAGGGGAGATCTGAGTGGGCTCCAGCTCAGGAGCGTCAGGGAAATAAAACTCTGAGAGCTCATCGATGTCTCGCTCTCTAAGTCGTCTCTTCTCTGGGGTCAGGGACAAGAAGAGCTCTGATGGACATCCATCGGCCACACCCCTCGTCTCTTCTTCATCATCTGTGTCTGCATGTGCTGTTTTACTGTGGTCATCCTCATACTCCCACAGTACCCCCTCTACTTCTCTCTCCTCTACTTCTCTCTCCTCTACCCCTTCCTCGCTTATTCTACACTCCTCATCCTCCCTCTTTGGTTTTTCATCTTCACCTTCCTCATGTTTCCTTTCCACCGTAGACTCTCTCACCCCCTCACCAGCTTCATCTCCGACCTCAAACACAAGCTCCTCCTGACCATCCAACATCTCCTCAGCTAACACCCCCTTTTCTTTTTTCAACTTGTCTTCACCCTCCATTTCTAGCTCCCCCGCCTCACTCTGCCCCCCTGTCGCGGGGCTCCCCCCCTCTTCAGGAGACCCCTGGCTCTGGCTGCTCTCACTCACTTTGAGGCTCTTGGGCTGCTGGCGGACCTCCACGGCGTGTTTCTGACGCAGCTCCTGCTCGCGCCTCTTGTTGTACTCCATTTGGTTGGTGAGCTCCGTCTGGTGCTGCGTGCGGATCAGCTCGGCCCGTGTGTGCTGCACCAGACCCAACTGGCGGAACTCCAACTCCTGGGTGGACTCGTGGTGACGCAGCAGCATGGCGCACTCTAGGTCCTTCAGGGTCTGCTTCTTGTTCAGCTCCTGGAGGATTAAATGAGATGATGAAGAGGAAGAGGGGAGGAAGTTGTAATATATTGAGGGCAGGACACTTATTACAAAATCCACTTTTCTGTAAATATACAGTATGTGACATTTTCACACTGACTATGCTTTTCAGATGTTTTAAGACAAAAATGAAATAAATAGAGAAGATTAAGCTTCAAATCAGTTTGAGGGAGGACTTGTTGATCCATTCCTGACATTGCCAAAAAGAAAGGTACCTCTCGGAGCAGGTCCTGCTCCAGGTTGTGGCGTGCCAGCAGCATCTTCCTCTTGTACTGGCGACACTGCAGCTCATAGTACTGCCTCTGCCTCCGCAGCAAGCCCGCCTCTTCCTCCGCCTGCAGCTGCTGCAGACACTCCTTCTGGTGCACCAACCACTCCTGTTTCTCCCGCTTTGGTGTCGACTGGTTCTCATTCAGTTCCTTAAGTGAAAATACATCACAACTAGTTAACAGCCAATCTTTATGTAAGCTGTATCAGATCAATGTCAAACTGACAGAATAATGCTGTTTGTACGTTTATGGGTGTTACAGTTACCCAAACCAACTATTTAAATTGACCTTCTGTTAAAATGTATTTTTGAATCACTAAAGTTGATGCCAGAGAATTATTTGCATCCACACTATAGAGTATTTTTGCAATTTTTTTGTAACCAAATAGGACAATATTACAAATTCTGATTATTTATTTTATTTCATATGTTTGCCAAAAGTGGCCAGAGGGATGGTCTAATTCAGAGGTACCCAACAACCAGATGTATATTTCAGCATAATGTGAATCTTAAATGGGGGGGGGGGGGGGGGGGGGGGGCTCCTAACAATATTTCACCTTTACAGGTGTAAGTGAAATGCAGGACTCGTTTTAAGTCGCAGGGTAAAGAAGAAGTTACATGTAAAAAGGTATATATGATCAGAATGAGCCGAGTTCCGCACATAAATACTCGTGTGTTAGCTCACTGACTGGCAAAAACAGCATGACTAAAAGTAGACGTACCTCTTTGAGCTGCTCCTTGCGTTGGCGATACTGTCGTTTCTGGGACTCTAGCAGACTGGTCAGCTCCTTCTTCTGCTGGGCCAGAATGTGCTGCTGGAACTTCTTCTCCTCAGTTAAGACCGCCTTTGTCTTAAAAAAAGGGAGAACAAAACAAACACCCACAGTCTCATTAACATAACGGCTCTGATCCTTCTCTCCGCCTCACCCTCACTCATTCCTCCTCCAGCAGCTCACCTCCTTCTCCAGGATGACCTGGTGTTTCTTGGACAGTTTTTCTCCCTCCATGGAGAAGCTGTTCCTCTGGTTCTCTAGCTCTTTGTCCAGTCTCAGCTGGTGCTCGTCCATCTCTCCCTTCAGCTTGTTCTCCAGGCCCATCAGCTGCTTCTGGTGCTGCCGCCGCATTCGCTTATACCTGAGAGGTGACCGTGCAGGAAGTTAGAGACTCTTCTGAGATAAAACTGACTTTTATTTCAAACAAGGACTTCAATGAAGGGTTTTTATTGCGATGGGGGGTGTCTGTTTTATTTCTAGTTTTATAAAGAAGTCCCTGTAAGGCCCTTTGAAACTGCTAAACCTTACCCAGACATCTGTTCTCTCAGAGCCGAGCCCTGCTCATGTTCCTGGATCTGACGAGTGACGAGTGAGGCTGTCCTGATGGTGGCAAAATGGTCTCTGCCTCGACGACGTCTCCTTTCTCCACCTCCTCCACCACCACCTCCTCCTCCTCCTCCTCCTCCACCACCACCACCACCACCACCACCTCCTCCTCCTCCTCCTCCTCCTCCTCCTACACCACCAGCAGCAGATGAGGCCTCTCGATGTAACTCGACCTCTGGCTGATAGGGATCATCATAGATGTTGTCATGGCTCTGCATAGTGGGGACAAAAAATAGGAACTTTCAATTGAAGTCTTTTAGCTTAATGTCATTTTAGCAGTACAAATTAAATATATAGATTGTTCAAGTTTGTTTGGAGCTTTGGTAAATCGCTTCAAAACTTGAAAAATTTGTACTCTCCCCCACTCATTCTCTGTCACAAAATTAACTTTGTTTAAGTTACACACATGCAAATACAGGGCAAGCTTTGGGACAAACTCCCCTCACTCCCTTGGAATCAGGAACTTTTTGTTACCATTGTTTCATCGCACACAAATAATAATGGACATCATAAAAACAGTGAGGCAGACTCAATCAAATCAGTCCATATTATGAGTTATATAAGCTACTTAAACCTGTAAATATACAACTGGTTCAAAATAAATATCCAGACCAGAAAAGGATTCATTAGATCCTGAATACAAAGTAAACGTTTGTACAGTAATAACACAGAACTTTCATTTATAGAGCATCTCCCAAGGTGAACTCCATTCAGTTGCACTTGTTCAATAAGGCAACATTGGAGCAGACTAACCATTTTTAGATTTACCAACCCACTCCCTCTTCAAACACAGTGGTTTGGTTTGGCTCTCAATGAGGAGGGTGTTTCAAACAGAGAGAGAAGAGGGGCGGTTTGAAAACAGACGGTCTACAGTGATGCTGCTATTACCTGTCATCTCCTGTAGGTGGTGCAAATCTGCATGTTAAAAACTGGTGCGTGAACATCTTCCCTTTTGAACCAAATGCAGCCAATTTACATGTTCTTCTCAAAGAAACAAACAACCGCATTTAAAAAGGGACATTCCTAGTCTAGTTCCTGTATGGAATATATACTTGTTTAATCAGGGTACTTTTATCAAACATCTCAAATATTGAAGACAAAGTGTGAAAAGTGCTGCTATTCTCTCTTTTAAATACAAATAAATACATTTGTAAAACTGGATAGTCAATGTGTAACAAAGAGTTTTGAGAGGGAAGAAACCTCCTGCTCAGTTTATCTACCCAACAGACAGAGCAACACTCAGACTGACCAGGGGCTTGTGCAGGACAGAGCTGTTGGAGGTGACTGTGTGCTCGCCCTCCTGCATCATGGCCATCTCCCCGCTGTCGTCGGAGCCGTCTGCCAGGCTGTTGACGGAGCTGCTCTGGGAGCTGGCGCTGATGGACATGGAAGGCAGAGAGTGGGAGCTCTCCATGCTGTTGACTGTGCCGGTGCGCAGCATGTACTGCTCCACATCCTGCAGGCAAAGGAAACAAGATTAGTCCAAAGGCTTCAAAGGTTTTTGGGGGAGCATAATGATGATTTAGGTTTCTTGCAGTTTCAGACATAGATTAAATATGAATTATACTGAAGTGAGAAACAGGCTAACACTGAAGAGAAACTGAGCTGAACATTCTCTGAATTCCTTTGTTTCCTTTTTGGGGAACAACCATCTGGAGTTTAAAGTTGCTGGAAACAAAGGGCTTTGTATCAGGAGGAAGGGGTCTGAGTTCACTACATACATGATGACATGTGCAAAACAAAAGCAGGACGGATTTAAACACCTCTTTTCCATTCCAGAACCTGATACATGCTTCTCTCACAGAAATCACTCATCTTTAACTTTTGTTTGACTGGACTCCTACAAATGTCGCAGTTACACCTGGAACTCGGTTTCAGAGTTTGAGCTGGAGTAGTGATTTCACATTTACAGGAACATGTGAAATACAGTTAAAGTTCCTTGTTTCATGTGTCTGGTTAGCAGGAAATGCAATACATGGCAGCACAATGCATGATTATGAGGAAATGCACACACTAGAAAAAAAAAAATCAGACCATTAAAGGAATCCACAATCCAAAATGTACTGTGCATGCTGTGTCTACATCAAGGCTGGGTCATATGTACTAAAAATGAAATGTTGGATTTTTTCAGATCAGATGCACAAAAGATTTATGCAAGTTTTGCACATGATGCAAATGTAATAAGCTTCTTAGCCAGTGATGTCTTTGTCTTATAAAATCTGTGGACACTCTTGGCTGTGTGCCTGTTTGACTTGCTGAAATAAATGAGTTGAGCTGATGCTTTAAGTTGCCAAAGAACTCGGACAAACGTTACAGTGGACTGCAAGTCTGAATCACATTTCAGATGAACGAGGAGCCTTTTAGGGTGCAAACTCCTCTTTTATTAACGCAGGCACCCTGCCATAATGACATTTTTGCTCTGAATGTAGGGAACGATCCCTTTACTATGACATGAAATGATATTAACTCTGCAGTTGTTAAAAGGACTCAGATTGGGATCAAAGCCAAACTCAACCGGGCAATCCCTAGTGTAAAGAAAATATAAACCTACTGTTCACAGTATTAAATTCATCAGTCACTGATCCTCCAACTTTTTTAAAACCTTATTTCCCTCTTCTATTCTCCTTTTCCCCTTCTTACCTCTTCCTCTTCCCCTCCTTCTGGTGCTGGACCGTTGTGTGCCTCATGAAAGAGGATTTTCTTCATCTTCCGGTACTGCAGGTTGTCCAACTCGCGGACAGCATCCTTAGTGCGGGCGATCAGGTCCATCACAGCTGTCATGGGACGCTCTCTGCATAGGAAATGGTGCTGGGTGGACGGAAGAGTTGAGAGACAGAATGGACAGTGACATGATAATTATTCAACAGAAACAGGACTCTGATGTTCTGGGATCTGAATCCCTGGATGTTAGGATTCACTAATGTGAAGCCGTAATCACTGAGTAGTTGGTTGTTGTTGTTGTACAATATCAGAAAGTGTCACAAAATAGTTGGTCACCATTTCCACTGGTAACAAGATGATGTCATCAAATGCTTTTTTGTTTTTTTTCACAACTCAAAGACGATAAGATTGATAATAAGAAGTTTCATAAGAGTGAACAAAGATATTTTAGAGAAAGAGAAGAATGTTGACATTTCTTTACAAATAAAATATTGAATGGTCATCAAATATTTCATTAAACGAAAAATCCTAGCTGTTCTTTTCCTGATTATGGTTGTTCCTCACACTTTCACATTCTTTGAGTACTGATCAGATCTTTTGTTTCCCATCATCAATCAGCCAGCTGTTTTTCATGGAAGTGTTCGAGCCAACAGAAAACAACAAATGTAGACATTTATCCCTCAACAAACTGCTGCATGTTCATCACCAGACAGATCTTTTCGTTGTGTGTTGTACCTTGAGCAGCACGTCAGAGGTAGGTCTGTCCTGGGCGATCTTCTGCAAACAGGAGTCCACAAAATTGCGGAAATAATCGGACCTGAAAATGACAAAAAGTCAGTAGAAAAGCAATGCTGGCATAGGAATGACATTTGTGTTGGTCCAACTGAAACATCGATCCATCCATTCAAGTTTTATGTTTCTCATTTTTTCTTAAGACTTGCAGGATTATAAACTCATGAGGGAGAAAAGTGGCCACTTGCAATACACAATAAATGGGGCCAGTTTTAAAAAGCTCAGGTTGAGTAAATGGACTTGAGCTTGTATAGACCTTTTCTAGTCTTCTAGCTCATGTCTCAGCATTTCATACTAGTATATTTTTTGCATTGATACACGGGACGCAGACAACTTTAAAAATAAAAAATATATGTGCGTCTTACAGACTGGACTTTACAGTTTCTTAGATTTCATCAATGATTTCAGACAGTTTAATCTGCAGTTACCAAATAACAAAGGATCTATTCATTTCTGAAGTAAACTTCAAAAAAAGTAAGGTGAAAATACTGACAGCCACATATCTGCAGTGGATTAATTTGATTCTGGCTAATTGAAGACTTCCTGGTTAAATGATATAAAAGAATAAATTAATTTGATCCTCCATCTTTGACAGTTTGTTGAAAAGGCCTCAAAAAGTATTTTATAGAAGCAACATTTATAAAATGATCACGGGCATCAAACTCAAACTCACTATGTAACAAAGGTCTCGTCTCTAGGTCTCTAAAAGAACATTTCATCGACTCTCACCAGTGATTGGACTGCAGCACGGGGCTCTCATTCTGGGCGATGTGGTATAAGGCACTCATAGCATTCATGTTGAACAGAGGAGGCTTCCTTTCCGCTGCAGAGAGACAAAACATAGAAAAGTAAGACAAAGACAGAAAAAAGGAGAGGAGAAAGTACAATGTCTTCAGATTTGTGAACACAAACAATAGAAATGAATAAAACAACACACTTGTGCTGTTTTTTTTTTTTTTGCCTGTTTCTTACCCAGCTCTATGCAGGTAATGCCAAGTGACCACACATCCACCTTGCCATCGTACTGACCCTCATCCATAGCCAGGATCACCTCAGGGGCCATCCTACATGGAGGAGACAACAAAGCAAGTCAGCCATTTTCAGCTCTTCTCCTTTGATCCAGGACCAACAGAGAACAGCACCTCAGGGCGCACAGTCAGAGTCAATGTCTACAACAGCATAAATAAAGCACAGCCACGGAGGCGAGCAGTCGGATATTTAAAGTTTGGTGGGTTGCACATGAAACTGAAGCTTCTTTCTGTGACTGGGTGAGGATCGTCACAAATGATGTTGCATTTTCTGACGTCTATTCCCTTAATGCAAACAAGGTGTAACATAAAAATTAAACCTGCATGTTATTAAGCTTATGTATGAGTTATTTTATAGTGGCATTAGTACTGAAGTTATTGTTTGGAATATAACTATTTGTTAACTGTATGGAGTAGTTGCAGATTGCATTCATAAAAGATAGAAACATGAATTGACCCAGTTCTATATTAAAAGATAACGTACGGACAGGACAAAGCCATGGAATTTCTATTTATGAATATTATCTTCACTATTCAATTCCCAAAGAGGATTGTGTTTGACAGTTTCAATCAGAAATTAATCTACGTTAGAATGAGATCAGTGACTAGCAGGCTTCAGAGTGATGTTTTGAAGAGTTTTGAGTAGTAGTGTGCATTGTAAGGTATGCAACATTTAACATGTGTTGTTATTAAAAGAAATAACAAGCTTGAGGATAAACCAATCATGAAGGATCAGGAAAAGAAGCGGGTAAAGATAAGAGGCCTCCTCTCATCATTTCATCCACTACGATCGGCGGTGTAGGCATGAAATGTTGTAAAGCCAATAGAAGAGAGAGGATTAGCTAACTCCTTCATAAAATGTGAGGACTGTCAACGATTCATTTTAGAATGCATCTACAAAACGAGACCCCAATCATCCAAAAAACATTTACTACCCTATGGGAACTCTGGGAACTGCAGTTTTAACCCCACAGCCTGTTTCTATGGAAACAACGATGGCACAAATTCAGTAAATCAACCAAAACTAGGTTTTGTAGCATTAATACTTAAAACAGCTGTAAGTGGATTATTATGAAACATAGACACACGGTACTTATTTTTCATAAGTATTTTCTTCAAACTGTATCAACCCTTTTGATAATCTTATAATCCTCTAAGAGGGACAAGGTGCATGCTCTGCTGGATCACAATTTGTAGTAATTCTTGTTAATCCTCTAGAGGTGTCTGTTCTAATCTAATGAGGAACATTATGCTGCAGTGAGTAACATGTCTGATGTCTTACCAGTAAGGTGTTCCCACAAAGGAATTGGCTGGAGCAACGATGGAGGCGGAGCCAAAATCTCCCAGTTTGACCTGACCTGGCTCTGTTAGCAAAATGTTTCCTGCCTTCACGTCCCTGAGAGAGAGAGAGAGATAGAGAGAGAGAAATGATCAGAGAAAAGAAAATGCCTGGTCAGGACAAATTGTGAGAAAGACTAAAAAGATAAGAACGATATTTAATAGAGGCAGAGGTCCAAATTGTGTAGCTGTACAGTGTGTGGAGCACAACCACCATTGCATAAATGTATCCTGGGCAGCACATTTTGTGCCTTCTCCACTAGATTTGTTTTGTCTCTTTTCCGAAGTGTGGGCGAGGAGAGTGAGTGAACACAGATAGTGAGAAAAGGGACAGTGGTTACCTGTGAATCATGTTGTGAGAGTGAAGATACACCAATCCCTGCAGTGCACCATGGGTTATAGCCGCTATTTCCACTTCCTGCAGGGGTTTCTTGTGGACTGTGAGAAGAGAGATAATAGGGGAAATGCGGCGTTGTGTATGTGAACGAGTCATTTGTGTTACTTTATCACCTAACCCTTGTCTCCCACTTACCTTCTAAGAGGTCTGAAGCTGAGCCCAAGCAGTACTCCATCACCAGCTAGGAGACAGACAGGGAGTGTTAGAGCACAGGATATTTAAGAAGCTTTATGCAACAGGACACTTGATTTTCAAGACGAGTCAAACTTTTCCTGAATGGAGAAGTGTTTTCTTGTTTAAAAAGGAGGCAGTACTCCCTGAGAGTTCAATGAAGTGTGAGAGGTGATGTTGAAAAAGGGGCAGCCCAGAAAGGAGATTTAATGTCCTGCTAAAAAATAAAGTTCTTTGCATATCCGAAAGTTTGCACCAGATGTAACAGCATCGTCTACATTTAGTGGGCATTGATTACAAAAAATACAATTGGACAACTGGCAGATTTTTTTCCAGGAGTCTTGGGGATAAGAAGGGGAAAAAACTTGATTTGTTTCATTCAGTCTTGTTTTTTTCCAGAGCAAAAAAAAACATTAAACCCTCAACAGATCATTTACTGTGGAGGAAGGCAATCTGGAGTTTTGACTTCTCTAATTCCCCCTTTTATCACATCTATCTCAAACATTGCAGCAATAAAACACAAAGATGAAACACACACACACACACACACACACAACGCACACACACAACTCACCCATGCTGTGTGCTCTCTCAGGTAGCAGCCCCGGTACTCCACTGTGTTTGGGTGGCGCAGCTTCTGGAGGAACTTGACTTCCTTGATGATATCCTGCCATTTCTAGAGCATTAACAATCACAATCATATAACTGCTCTCACTTCTACATGTGGTGAAGGATAAAGACAGCTGTCATACCTCATTGGACTGTTTGCCGCCATAGGACATCTTCTTGATGGCCACCACCTCATTGGTGCGGATGTCATGAGCCTAATGTGGAAAGGTAAGGAAAAATGATGAACCAGAATAGTAATAATAAATAAAATATAATAATTATAGCCCCTTTCACACATGCACTGTACAACTGAAAATGTCCCATAATAAAGGCTGAATTATTCAGCCCCAATATTTTCCAGAATTTTTTCAGCAAGCCTCCTAGTCAGCAAGACGTCAAGGGGAAGCCGATGTGTGAACGCAGAAGCTTACTGTCACCAGAAATTCACCATGAGTGGTGGTGAAGACGTGGAAACTCGTGGTATCTTCGTGCAAGAAACGGGGCAGCTTCATCTTCTTTAATACTTGCAGGAATGTTCTTTTTCACTCTTTCGTCAAAACTGTAAATTCGTCCAACTACATTTCGTATTGACTTCAGGCAAATACTGTCATCACAGAGCCGGACTCTGCCGCTTCGTTCGCCATCTTGGATATGTTTTAAACATTGCACTGTGATTTCTGCAGCGTCCTTTTTTACGTCATGTCCTGCCTCCTGAGACCCCTTCTCCATATGACAGCGGAAACCTCCCGCTGTTAGGGACATGTGTGAAAGGGAAACTCAGGAAGAGATCAGGATCAGCAGGTTGGCCTAATTCCTTTTCACAGAAACTGTACGGAGTGCATGTGTGAAAGGGGCTACAGTCTTTTATAATGCAGAGATGCTCCCGTTTTGTATTTCTGGGTGCAAACACTGGAGAACTCAGGGATTTTTCAGACATTTTTACCTCAGGTCAACTGAAGAAAATCACTGATACATAAAACAAACATTTCTGCAGAGCCTCTTCTCTTCCTCTCTCTCTGTGGTTGATCCCTTCATCCATCACTAGCTCCTTTTCACCCTTCATTAAACAGGCCTTTTCTTCCAACACATCCACATTATTTGTCCTTGACTTCTGCCATGTTTATACCTTTTTTCCTTCTCTCTTTCTCTTGACACTTTTCATCCCTCAATGGGACCCCATGAGAATGTAATCTCTGACACAATCTTTCACTTTCATCGTCGTCTGTCAGCTATTCTCCTCTGTTGTTCTTGGTTACCTTCTTATAAACCATCAGCCACTCTAATACAGAGCCGAAACAACACAGTGACTTTATCTCAATAGAAGTAACACTACGATAAAGATGGAGATGGTACCAGTGATCATTTTGATAGTTTCATTATCATATCTTAATCTAATTAATGTTTTAAGTTATACATGAATATTGAAAGACTTCCATGATTCATGAGTCAGCAGATCCCAAATTCCAAAGTAGGAAGTAACAAGTTCAGTTGTATTTTGATCTAAAAAAACCATGATGAATAATCTAACACCTCACTAGCGAGCTTCACACTCCTGAGAAGAACACGATATGAACCAAAAATCAGCTCCAGAATTTTTTTTTTACATTTCCAATGAGTAAAAGCAGAACCGAGCGAAAGAGAAGATCAACCTGCCAATAAAAACTTTCAATGTGAATGTATTTGTTGTACTTTTTTCCTATGTACTCAAGAATATAGGTGCAGATGTTCAACATTATTAATCATCATGTTGCAAATAATTAGATGTACATTATCATATTCTAAAGTTTTGTTCAGCACTAAGTTTTACCTGCAAACTTCACCTATCTGATTTATTCTCTTCTCTCTTCTTCTAATAAATGATGTGTCGTAAAACCTTTCGGCCTCCAAGAACTAAAGTTAAATATAATCCTGCACCGTTAAAATGAATAAGAATTTAAATTAAAACACTTCTATCCATATAATTCAAAACAAACATTTAGGGCTACAGGAAGCTGTAGAACATTTTGCATACATACAGTGTGGTGCGTACATCCTTGATCTTTACAGACTGAAACACTAAAAAGTGAACTCACGAAGTAGACCGCTCCGAAGCTTCCATGTCCGATCTCCCTCAGGTCTGTGAAGAGCTTCTCAGGATCCTCCCTGAAGAACAGCTCAGCCACCTCCGGGTCCTTCAGGCTCCCGGCCCGCACACTCGATGGCATGGCCAGCGCCTGGTGAGGGCAAGGAGACACACCGAGTTGGAACAATCACACTGACATATATGCATTGGGAACTTGAGTCACCTAGGTAACAGGGACGCTGCATTATTACCTTTTGTATTATTTTGTATATTAACCATTCAATTTGTTGAACTAAACAAGGATCAACTGAATTGTCACATCTTACTGAAAAGGTTTAAATCTCTTGGGGAAACTATTAACATTGATGTCATTGATGTAGTATAGTATGTAGTAGTATTTTTTTTAAATATCCAGTACAGTCCTGTTTGGAGTACTTTTTTACATACAAATTGATAAAAATGCAAATGTGTGTTGGCTCACATCGCTTCAAATGACCATCCACCCACCCACCCGTTCATTCATCCTTCATCATCCATCTGTTTCTCTACCAGGAATATAAAGCAAAACAAATATTTAAACATTTGGGTTTTTCAATGTTAACAATCCTCTCTACAAGTGATTTGAACATGTTATGTCCGAACTGCTCCTTCATTACCCGACACACTCAGTGGTGGACAGCATGTATGAATGCATTGGTGTGTGTGTGTGTGTGTGTGTGTGTGTGTGTGTGTGTGTGTGTGTGTGTGTGTGTGTGTGTGTGTGTGTGTGTGTGTGTGTGTGTGTGTGTGGGGCCAATATTGGCCCTGCTGACAGACGTCGGCACATCTGCAAATTCACATTTGCATTGTAGGTGTCTTGCACCAAAAGAATTCATGAAACAAATGTCGGTATAGGAATCGGCTAAATTGTTATTTCAAGCATCTGCCCTGATTCTCTAAAAAGAATGCTCATCAGCTCTCAATCTCAGTTTTTATCCTACTGGAAACTTGTCCCATCTATATCCAGAATGCTGTTGTTTTTTTAACACTTAATAGGTACCAATAGCTAAAGCTTCATCTGGCTGTATCATAGTGGTGTGAACTTAAAGCAGTGCTGTTAACGCATGCTGAGTACGAACGCATTGTCAAATATTTTTTTCTTATTTATTTTCTCAATGCAGTAAGTGTTTTAATGTGAGTATTCATATCATCATAATGATAACGTGATCAATTTCACAGCTCCCATGTAATTCTGTATCTGTTCTTACATTTCATTCTATGAATTGTAATGGGTTTTTCTGTCAAATTCATGATGAAAAAGCTTTGTACTTTGTTCCTGTCTTTCTCCCCTGCAAACTGGATTGGATTTTTTTGTCTTTTTCTGAGATCAACAAAGACACAAAACAGAATCATTGACAGCATCAGGGAGGGGAAGTTTCCCTGTCTTGCTCTGGTATACAAAGAAATGCCTCTTAAAAGCAGCAGACTATAACTTCCAAACTGAGATTACATTTCCTAGTTCCAGTTTGGCAGGTCCATGGTTTGCTTATCATGTGTCAGGTGTTACCTTTGTTTTCAGTGCAATAAATCCTGTAACCAAAACAGAGTTTCAAATCTCTCTAGAAAGGTCATCAGAAGTTTTTTCTGACCAATTATGGAAATCCAACCAAAAGAGTGATGTTCATAACAGGGAAGCACTGAGGGCAGAATGTCTGTCATAAATGTGTGGCTGAAGGAAACTCAGATAAAGCAATGTAAAGGCTAACAGACTCAAGTTGTACCTCTCAATTAGCTGCTTTCATATCTCTTCTATTCATATTAGCTGACGTGCAGAATTCTGTTTCTTGGGTTGTTGGGAAATTCCCTTTATTTTGCATTGGAAATGATAATCACTCACAGGATCGTAAAAATCTGGGATTATTACTTTACTGCAATGTGATAACATCATGTCGCCTTGTCTTTATGATTACTACTTCAGAAGACATGAAACATTAAGCCTGATTAGACTGAGTTGGAGCGCCTGTGGTGCTTGTGTATGTAAATAAGTCTCACCTTTTAAAAGTGAGACTAGGAGACTAAAAATATTTTAATAAAGTATTATTTGTGCATATTATCTGCCTGTAAGTAGTGGCGAAATGGATCACAGTTGAACCTGATCCATTTTGGATCACCCCCCCTGGATCAGGCCACACGTGATCCTTGGATCGATAGAATATGTATCAATATGGCATAAGATCAATGTACTTCTGCTAAATCACCGTGCAGAGTCTCTTTGAAAAGGAGAAAGTGTTTAAGGAGTGTGTGTAGGTGCAATGGGGATCCACTGTACAAATAGGAAGAGAACTTTTAGGATTTTAAAATATATATTTTTCACGCTTTGACTTTTCTCCATTTCATGTTACCGTGTCTGCATTTGTCATGCAGGTATCCGCTGGTGGCTGCTTATAACATCAATCACAAACTAAACATCAGTGACGTTACTGCTGTGGTCTGTTGCTGGTTATTTAGCCAAAAATAAAATCTGTTACAGAGCCCTGTGTTAGCTCCAAAAACTGAAGATATAGTCCTTAAACATACACTTCCTGTTATGTGTGAATCACAAGCGCTGCATGAGCAGACACACACACACACAGACACACACACAGACACACACACACACACACACACACACACACACACACACGGGCTAAATGAACGGTGTGTGTATGTTACCTGTTCAATATTCCCCAAGCTCATACAAGAAAACAAAACGTGTTTTTGTAGATTACAGCAAACGTATTATTCTGTTGTGTTTGTAAAGTTGATGTTACACATTCTGTAATTGTGAAGATGTTTCTGTTGATGAAGATGTTTAGATTTCTGAATAAACAGGGAGTTCAGGTTTATCTAACTGCTTACAATCTGAGGAGTTTATGCATTCTTAAGAATCATGGAGATGCATTTTCATTTGTAGTGGTTTTTTTTTTTACAATGCACAATTTAAGTCAGGGGTAGCTGAGAAGTAGAACAGTTCTATTACAAATATATTTTTAAGGCAGATCCAAAATCCTATCCGATCCATGACATATGATCTGATCCGAACTGTGAAATGTTGATCCATTGCACCACTACCTGTATGTGAAGCTGTAGTGCAGACAGTAACATCCTAGTTATCTAGTTGCGGTCACCGTCAGGTTAACAGCCTGGCATGAGATATATTAGCTGATCTTTCCAATTTCAAACAATTATTTTGGAAATGTTTCACATGTTGCATATTTATTTTTCATACATTCTCAGTCACAAAACAATGTGGCCTTGGTGTCAGTGTTTCCAAACACTACATAATAATCACCAGATCAGACTTTTGTTTACGGACATTTTGTAACAGTCAAAGAGGAAGCATGCATCTCTGTTCTCTAAATCTCGCAACCAAGTCCAAAAGCAACCTCTCTTGTGTATTTTTATACCTCCTCATTAAGGCCGTCTTCAACAATGAGGCAGCAAATGCAAGTCATGTGGTTTCATCCGAAGATCAACCTCCACACAACATACAATTTTTTATTTTTTTTATTTTTTATTTTTTTACAACCTTGAATCCATCTGGGAATCTAAATGGGAAACACAATGTGAATTGCTCTTTCCTGCTGAAACGGTGGAGTAAATGATCTGAGACAGGTGGCAGCATCAGTATCATGCAGCTGCAGTGTGCAGCTCACATACATGGCGTTTTGCACTTGACTGGTCAATTAGGCTACCTTTGCTTTTGCTCTCCGAATAAAAAGAATGACATATATGCAAAAGTAGACGACGACGACAACAACAACAACTCCAGGCTGCCCGGGTGTTCAGGGTGCAGGGCCAACAACAAGCCTTTATGTCAATGTCAAAATGCAAAAATGAAAATGTGTGAGTAATAAGACGAGCTGGAAACTGATGCAGGAGGCTGCTTTAGCATGCTGAATGATTTATAACATGTCTTACCGTGGCTTTTGGGATCCACTGTAGCTAGCCCTGAAGCTAGCCGACTGGCCTGGCTGGAAATTATTGGTCTCACTCCCCTTTCCTCGACACTGGTGTCTATTCAACACGAACAAACCACATTCTGCCTGTCGATGCTTTTACTCAAATGGCTCTCCATCCTGATGCTCCCAACTCAACTGGACAGCTAGTGTGTCTGCAAGACTTGACATGAGGGAAGTGCCAGTCAATTACAGTGACAGCAAGCTGACTGACGGCTGCCAGCTAAACGAGCCAGGCAGCTAACCAGCAGAGAGCCAGAGAAAATCAGCGGCTAGCTCTGGCTGCTGTTAGCAACGCCGCTAACTATATAACGTAACGCCAGGAGCTGCCCGGGACGTTTTCAATGGGACACTGGTGCATTAATTTACACAGGTCCGCTCCCTGCGCCGCTGTGTGCTGTCATTTCGTTAGTGTTGTCGGTGAATTTCATCTCCAGTCAGTGTTATATCCCCATTTTGCTTTACTCCCATCCGTCTTTTTTTTTTTTTTGTTCAGGACTTCATGATGGCGGAGCGGGGCGGGAGCCGAAAGGAAAACGGAAGTGCTCTTCTTCGGTGGACTGAAAAAAAAAAGAAGAAAAACAGGCACCTTGGCCGCAACTGCGACTCCGTGTGTTGTGGTCGAGGAGTTTAATCTATGGACATGTTAAAATCTAAAATGTGATTTTCCTTTGTGAATGGATTCTTTAAAAACAGATTTGACATTTCAATTAGTTATGATATAACCTGACATAATGATTAACTGGTAAGCTTTGACCTTTCACCTTTCACACTCACCTGTAAGTCATACTTCAAATGTCTTGTGTCCCCTTGTCCTGGGGTCAATCTGACCCAAAATTCAACTTTTTGCCGTCAATATGTTTTTTATTCATCAAATGCTCTTCATGATTACAGTAAATTTGAGGTAATTTGATTGAATTATGTTTGTTTTTTTAAATTGAATTTACTAACGTCTGTTGTCCTCTGGGGTCAAAATGACCCCGCATCACAAAGTGGTACATTGGAGCAAATGATCACACCATACTGCTTTCCACAACATATTTGATCTTGGATGTTTGATGTTTGGGGGTCAAGCAATAGTTATGACAACAACAACAAAAAAACTCAGTTTCCTGCACTAATGAGGTCTTTGACTGCATTAGTTTACGAGTAGAGAGTTGAAAGATTTACTAGTAAATTAGTAGACAGCTAAAATTCTTCATGTTAACTAGTAAGGTGCAAAATATCTACAAGTTAACTAGTGAGGCTCTGTATGGCTAGCCCTTTTAACATTTAATGAGTCCGGCTGACAAGTGGCAATTTAGTTTTCACGATTGGAAATTACATTTCAACATGTCAAAATGTCATTTTGGTTAACATAATTTCGACTAGTAAGAATTGCATTTTAGATATCTAGAATTAATTTGTGATATCTGTAATGTAAGAACAATTGTAGATATCATAAATGAACTTTGTCACTCGAAAGAATTGAATTTTTGATATAAAGAATGAACATTTTTAGTGAGAATTGAGTTGAAAATGACATTGTGGATATGTCGGCTTGGAATTCTAACATGTCAAAAAGCAATTATTGATATCCACAATTTCTTAATGATTTAATGTTAAAAGAACTTGCCATAGACACGGAAATGTTTACTAGTTAACTAGTAGTAGCTAAAATGTCAACTGGTCACACTAGTGGGAGCAGTTTTCACCTTACTAGTTTATTAGTAAAGCCCCGTACAGTTTACTAGTAAATCAATAAGTGCCTCGATGTCCACCAGTTAAAATAGTAGGTATGTTTTTGGCCTCTGCAGCAGCTTCCCCTCACCCAGCAGCCCCTCCTGGCCCATCACCCAAAAATGCAGTGCATATAAAGATCATGCCATTACTACCTGCCTTGCATGCATAAATGAGGTCTTATTGGCCTTAAATGGAATAAGAAAATTGTGCTAATGTGTTTGAATGAAGTTGTTACTAAAGGTGTAACACAGAATTGGGTAAAGAATCCACTTTATGTTCTTTAAATTACAGTCAAACCGGACGGGGTTGATTTGACCCCGGAGGGAAGCAGGTGTGATTATTTGCTGCCCTTCAAAAAATTCAAATGATTCAAACACAGCATCTTCACTAAACTTATACTTAGACATAGACATATACCACTCTGTGATAAAAGAGTCAAAATGATATACATTTTAAAAAATTGGCCTAATTGGTCTATTGGCCTTAAAGTAAAAAAAAAGAAAAGAAAAGGAAAAATGTGTGGTAATGGGTTGGACTGAAGTCAGACTAAAGGTGTAACACAGAATTCATAGAATTAATTTATGTTATATGCCTCAAATTACAGTTAAACCAGACGGGGTTAAAATGACCCCAGAGGCAGCATGGATTATTATATAATAGTTGCAGAGAAATAAATGCCTTTTAGATAACTGTTTCTGATGTGTTCGAAAGTATGCAAAACCCTGCTTGGGTTATGAAATATAAAACATGACTTTCAACTATTAAACTATTAAACATGCAAATCCTGAATGTATATTATTTAAATGTAGCTACCCAAGTCTTATAGATTCTTTTATCACAATATTTTTTTGTTTCTTCTTATGTGAATGTTGTTTTTTCTTTAGTCAAGTTGGTTTGGTGACAGACAGCCCTTCACGCACACACACACGCACGCACGCACGCACGCACACACACACACACACACACGCACACACATCATCACAATCACACATACGGCTTGTTTAGCCCTCCCTTAGCTTGATTAATCCGCTCAGATTAAACTCTGTTTTATGAACTTTTATTTTAAAAACCACACAAACATAAGAGACTATAATACCAGGCATGTTCTCTCAGACGCAGTTAAAAATCAGAAATCAAAACATTCAATAAGGATTTGCTTCTTTGTGCTGCAATAGCATCTTCACATATTAAACTTTATTTTATTCACCCTCCAATTTCTAATCCTCAAAAACTTCTTCAGAACAAAAAATTAAATCTGTGCACGCCTAACCTGCCCTGCTTTTCCTCCCCTCACTTTTCACACACATCCATCCTGCCGTCCACTTCAACAGACATTTTGCACAGCCATGGGTTTGATGGGTTTGGCCTTGCATAACTTGTCAGCTGGTGGGTAAAAAAAAATAATATAAATGTCTATTTCCCACTGCATGGCCAAGCGGATTATGAATCTAATGCAGACAGATTTTATGATGAATTTACATAACCGTGAAGCGAGCAGAGGGGGGTTTAAGGGTCAGAGCAGAGGACAAACACAGTGAAGGTCTCAGCTCTGACAGACTGTAGGAAGTGAAGATTGTCCCAGCGGCTTTAATCCCGGACGTTGTCATGATGAGGGTACTTCATGGAAATAGTAATCATTTTGTTTCCACGCAAATGTAACCGATACTCCTGCAGATTATCACACATTTGAATATTAGCTGTAATTGGCCTTTAATGCATACAGCCAGTTTTATGACAGAGGAACACAGTTAACATTTTTTCTCTCATAACAGAAATAATACAAGATATACAAATGAATACAAAAAAGAAAAAGAAAAACAATAATTTTTCTGATTGGGATAGAAAATAAAGAACATAAAAGGATCATCTGTCCTGATCCAGAGAAAGCATATAACAATTGATAGAAGAGTTGGCTTTGAAGATATCACAATCTGTAATCTAAAATTGTGTCTGTTTTTTCAAAGAAGCGTTTCCTTGTGTCTCTAAAAATTGTTACAATATGAAAAATCAAATGGAACGCTTAGGTGTTACCTAACCTTTCAGTTCTTTGGGAGTTTGTATCATTATTATATTTGTTATAAGTAAAATACTTTGGAAATTATTTCATTTAAACTATTTTTTTCTGGTGCAATCTTTTCATTTTAAACATTTGATGAAAGAGGAATGTATTTAAAGATCCTTTTACACATCCATTTAAAGGGGTCGGCTTATTTCCTTGTGTTATTAATCCACTATAATCGCTCAATCGTTGAACATGAATGTGTGTTCAAGTTTTCATATTGTTATCAAAATGTCTATTTAAAGAAACACAAATGCTGCATTGACCTGGAAAGCCAACAAAAACAACCTGCAACTGGACCTGTGTGCACTGATAGTTTCATGGGGTTGGCCAAAGGTTCAGATGACAATCTCATTTACTGCATGATGTCAACACAGCACTGACTCCACCCATCAGTCATACAACCCTGCATGCAGCCACACCTCCCTGACATTCAAAACTCCTGCAGCATCCCTAACAGGCCGGACAGAGCAGGTCGCGCTGAGGAGGGACACACAGACTCTCACACAGAAAAGAAGATCAGTAGACAGACGTGTGGAGAGAGAGCGAGATAGAGAGCTGCAGAGGGCTCGTGTATGAAGCAACTGGCTAATGACAAGAACTCACCAGAGGAAGGTAGGAGCACAGAAAAAAAGTCACTTTATTCTAAAAAAAAAAAAAAAAAGATAAGCAACTTTTTTCTGTAATTCCCAGAAGCAGTTGGACTCTTTGTAGTTTTTACTATTGCGAAAAGAAAGTATCTTTAAGTGTTTTGTTGAAGTTGTGGTTTGAAAATGTAGCCTAAATGTATTGGAAATGTTTGATAGTATCAGAAAAAGAAGACACAACATTTTAATCCTGACTTTCTGGCTTTGAAAATCGTTCCCAAAGCTCTTTATCGTGTGTCAGAAACTGATTAAAAAATACATGTATTTTCAATGATTAAAGTCATATTTTGTGCTCTCTTTCTGCAGAAATGAGTTTTGGGGCCGCATGCATTTTCCTACGAGGAGGCAAAAACATTGTAAGTGCAGACGTGACGGCCTTTTCCTATTTTTGATGGGTTTGTGCTGATCTTTGCAAATTCACAGAGAAGCTGGAACTAATGCATGGCGATAAGTTTACTGAGACTTAACTGCAAATGTAGCTATACTTTAATCATTATTGTATCTTTTTGTGCCTAATGATATTCAACACTGGAATGCAAAAAAGAATCCATTATGTTCATTTTGTGGTTTTTGAGTTTCTTTTTTCTTGTTGTATGTTTTTACTGTTTTTTAAGGGTCCTTATCTAACGCACTGATTTTTTCTTTCAGACAAGGGAACTGGCTGATGATGAGATTGATGGTAAGTAATCTTCATCTACATATTCTTGTGTTTTAATCACTACATCTGATTAAACTCATTGTTTTGAGTTTGATTTGTTTTGATAACACGTTTATATATTTAATATATCTTATCGTTGACTTTCTAAATGTCTGATTGTCTCCTCTGCAGAGCTGCGTGATGCGTTCAATGAGTTTGATAAAGATAAGGATGGGCTGATCAGCTGTAAGGACCTGGGCAATCTGATGAGAACGATGGGATACATGCCCACAGAGATGGAGCTGATCGAGCTGAGTCAGAACATCAACATGAACCGTGAGTCCTCCACTGAACAAACCAACCCCAAAACATTGAAGTAACAGTTTTCATACAAATATTGTTTTCGAAAAACAAAATAGTATGGACAAGATGACATAGTGCACGGCTGAATTTGTTTGTTGAAAATCAAATTATAACTTTTATTCTGGACTAAAATAACCATTTTTTTAGTTGTTTATATACTATACCAAACACTTTATTGTCCTCTTTCTCCTGGACTCAAAGCGCTGCCAAACATTCAGCTGCTTCCACTAGAATCAATCAATAAAACACAATAGAGAGAGACACATCCACAAGCGAATAGAAAGACACATACCAATGCAAAACAACATATACAGCAAAAGATCTGCAAACACACAGCATCAAAGGTAAAAAAATATAAAAACATGTTTGAACATTATGGCAAATCCCAGCATTTAAAAATAGACACAGAAGTGACAGAATCTTTTTTTTTCTATTTGATAACTATTAATACATTTTATTACTATACTGTAGTTATTTTTAGTTTTATTTGTGTACCCATGAAACATGGAGGGTGATGTTAGATGAGACTTGAAGTGTGAAGGGGCAAAATAAAAAATGTGCGTTTTGTTCATATACAATGATTACAAAATAATGAACTGATGGAAGAGTCAGGGATTTTTCTTAATTGTTGCATTTATTTTTAAAATTTTTTCTCCAGTGGGTGGTAAAGTCGACTTTGAGGACTTCGTAGAGCTGATGGCTCCAAAACTTCTGGCCGAGACGGCCGGGATGATCGGTGTGAAGGAGCTGAAGGATGCTTTTAAAGAAGTGAGCGTCACATTCTTATGCTTTAAAGAGACTTGGATCCTTTAAAAAAAACAACCTCAACGCCAGATTTCCACCCAAAACTGATTTACTGCAAACATGCTCATCTATCTTATTCCTTCTTCTTTTGTTTCATGTTTGACTCTTTTTTTAAATTTAGTTTGACATGGACGGAGACGGAGAGATCACGACAGCAGAGCTTCGCTCAGCCATGATTAAGCTGATGGGAGAGCACATGAGTAGGAGGGAGATAGACGCCATAGTACAAGAAGCAGATGACAACGGAGATGGCACAGTAGACTTTGAAGGTAACACTGAACGATCAGTCTGTCACAAACAATGACAACAACACGAATTAACTCCACAAAACAATCCACTAATCCAATGAAACTTCTTCTTCTCTGCTTTAGAGTTTGTCAGAATGATGTCCCATCAATGACAGTCGAGGAGCGTCATCAAAGAAAGCACCTTTGCACCTATCATTAGTCCTGAAGCTGTCTGTGTATGAAGGATTCACTTGTATATATTAAGAACGAACACTGATGTTAAGTAATTAAGCAATATGAAGTCGACCTCAGACATAAGTTTATAGCTATGCAAAACCTGACCGTCATGTGCTGAGACATTTATAAGATTTAATATAATCTAAGAGGATGTGTGAATATATGGATTTGTTTGACGATTTGATGATTGTGTGTACAGGAAGTCTTTTTGGATTGATTTGCTGAACTAGATTGAATTTTGCTAATGGAATATACCGTATTTATTCTGACAGTGTTTCATAATTTATCACTGCAACATTTAAATTAAACTACTACACTTATACGTTTACAGTATTTATCATGGACTTGTTGTATTACCTACCTTAAATTCAACAAGTTAGACCCTGCTTGCAAGCATGTGCAGATATAAAATAAAACATGTTCACTTTGCGCAAGAGTTTTGATTTGTATCAGTGCGATGTGATGGACGCTGGGTGTGTGTTATTTAGGAATAAATCTGCCTGAATTTGTCTTTGGTTTTGTCATACATGAAGAGTAAAGCTGATTTATTACCTTGGCAAAATTCAAAGAAAAATACTTAACATTTTGTGCGTGACAGAAAATCTGTCATGGCACTATGTAATTTAATCCAAAATCCTTCATGACTTTTATAATGACTCAACTTGCATAATGATTCAAAACTCTCTGGTTGTATAATAAACCAAAGCAGTGATTTGTGGATTTCGTGTACCCAAAGAAGGGATTTGGAAACCGAAAACATCTGTGACGCTGCTGCACTGTGAGGTGGATATTTGGAGGATTGAGTAACTCATCTGCCCTGGCTTTTGGAGGACACGGGGATAAAGAGATTTTGTGACAAAAAACAAACAAACCCGGAGTGGCCACTGATTTGATAAGAGTATACATCAGTCTAAAATTGTGACATGACAGATTTCTTAGAATTAAGTGTTAAAAAAAACGGGATTAGGAAGCACTCTGACCAGAATTCATCTTTTTGAAGAGTGCGTCCTGAGAATTCTAAGTAAAAACGATTAACTGTGTTGTGAATTTGAACATTGGGGTAAAATGAGGGGAAGAATGACAGAAAAACACTGTAAAGAGACACAGGAATGGCTAATGGCTAACACTTAGCATAGTTAGCATAGCTCCACTGATAGTCACAGTTTTTTTTTTATTAACCTATCATTAGGTTGAACCATGAAAGTTCTACATACACGTTCATCATGTTTTTGTGCATTTGGATGTGAAAGTAAAATGAGGGGAAGAATTTAATGAATTTAAAACTTTGCCTCTGTGCGATGTCTGTCAGCTCCTCTGTCTGAATGGACTTAAAGC